ATTAAAGAATATGGCATAAAGGAGGGAATTTCTGGAAATATGACCTGATTTATTTGGTATATTTCTAAGTTAAATGCAGAAAAGCCCCAAAATGACTCATTACTGTGCTAATTTTCTTTTACAAAATAATGTCTGCCATCGTTGCCCAATATGGAAAAATATAGGACTTAATTTGTATTGAAACAATACCTTTTCTTCTTTTCAAAATATAGAGTTTTGGAACAAAAAATCCATGTAGTTTATAGACCTCATGTCCTCCAAACAATTTGTAGGAATGTGCCTTATATAGCAGACCTATTATAATTTTATCGTTAGTTGCAGAATTGAAACTTGAAATTTTGATTTTACTAGAATTTTCAATCAATAATATTTAATATGATATAACTATGTTGACACGATATATCCCATGATGCTGGATGCCCAATCCTTCCATGGCACCAGAACAAGCTCTGTATTTTTAGGTTTGTAACAGGATTTGATCTATACAAGTAGGACAAGGAGGAAAGCTTTTACCGAAAAAGTTTTTTAAACAACAATTTAAAGAAAACTAGTTTAGATAAAATCAATATTTTACAACTTCATGGTCGAAACAATGACCTTGTCAGCAAATACAATATAACATAAATTCTAATACTAGCTTTAATTAAGGTCTTCCGTTTCCAACGGAAGACCTTCTACTGATTCTGTTGGTAAAGATTATTATTCTTTTTTTTTCTTCTACTTCCTAGACGCCAACTTTGAGGCCTCATATCTCACTCATTTATCAACGGATTTTGCTCAAATTTTCAGACATTATAGACATCAATAAACTCTATCAGAGTGCTATCTAACATTTCAAAAATTCACTTCCGCTTTTGAGTTATTCCCCTTTAAACGAACATTTATAGGCTTTCGTTTCCGGATAAAGGCTCAGAAACCACAAAAGCTGGAGCAAAATTTTTATTGATTTTGGACAACAGAGGGATTGAAGTTGTGCACATCTATTTTTGTTTTTTGATTTCTGTATTCACAATGGCGCTATATAGGGGTCAAAAATTAGAACGCCTAAAAGAGCGAAAATTTACTCATATTTTCCTTTTTATCTTGAAAACTAAAAATATTTTGTTAAGACATAATGAACAAAAGTTGTGCATAATTGCAAGGGCTTTCATGTAATACTATTCAAAAGGGACTGGCCCCTATAATAAGGGCTCTATGGAACTTGAAAGTTTTTGCTTTATAACTCAAAAACGGTAAATATTTCGATCTAGATCTTACGAACAAAATTGCTCTTTTACACCTTTTTGATCTGATGAAAATGCTGTTTTGTTCGATTATGCTGGGAATATTGGTAATAACGCGGTTAAAGCAGGCAAGGTAAACAGATTGCGTTTTTCGGATTACATTTACCTTGTTTGTTTACAATTATATAACACACCTCCCTTGATAGCGCGGGGCAAAGTCGGTCACCGGGAATCGATCGGCGGGTAATCCAGCGACCCACAGTTATACACAAATAAAAACCCAGAATGGTTAAATTTATTCTAATTGTACCTTAAATAATATCTCTGTCCTATAAAAATATTATTTTGTTCGAGTCTTACTTATTATAGGAAAGAAAGCTAGGCAGTTCTCATCTTGCTATTGAAGGAAAACTCTGTAGTCTTTCTGCGCAGAATTGAAGTAAACATGCCGTAAATAATAAATATTTTACAATGCTGTATCACATCTCTTTTTTTAATTAGGTTTTAATTAAACATGTTCTTTGGTTCCCATTCAGAGTATTCAATGGCATCATTTTCCTTTTATTAATCAAATGTTTCCAAGAGAAAGAGTTTTAGAAAAAAGCTTTTCTTCGTTAAAATATGAACACAAACAATATGAACGAAAACGATACACGCCCGGATCTCATAAAAAGAACTTTTAAAGAGTCAAATAGTACAGAAATTTTTTACTGCGCAATTCTAACATTCACCTGGAACCCAGATTTTAAGTGTGTTGACCATTGCATGTTGCGTAATCTTACGATTATACGCATCCAAGAAAATCTTAAGTGACACGCCGCAGCGAACCATTGACTCCGCAGTCCTAGGCAAATTAATTGGTATATTAAAACCATTTTACAATCAATGGAAAATTATTATTGTCCGATATTTGAGATTAATATGTTGGCTTATCTTTGTTTTAAATTTGATCGTGATACATGCATGTTTATCTAAAACAGCTATCTTGGTTTTGTGTTTGTTTACAATTACGCGACAAACCAATCCTTCCGTCGCTTGTTGACATTAATTTACACAGCGTGGTCGAATGTTAAATCTTTTTTTACAAACTTACGGAAAACATTATTTTCTGTAAGTAAATCAAATCTTTCAAAATATTTTAAAATGTCTTAGGTTTGACTTCAGAACAAAACGTTGTGGTATTTATTTTACATGTACATTATTTAGTCTTCAATTTTTATAGTTCGTTAGCTCCATGTGTAATTTTACTTTTCGTTTTGAGGATTCATAGCGTAAGGACTGGCGATCTGCGGTTACTTTACTTGAACCAATATTGATTTAAATGCACAAGCTTAATTAGCACTTTTAACTCATAAATAAATCCGTTTTCAACACAAATTTTCCCAAACACATTTTTTTTTTGTTCATCACAGATTTTTACCATGGCTATTTCAGTTTTAAATTTTAAAGAAAATCTTCCGAATCATAAGGATCTATTCAGAATTTTACTCATAAATGAAATGGAATAAACATCGATAAGTATCTCCGGCACGTTTAAACTTCATAAGTGACTTCTGTGCTTGCACAATGCCTATTTATATTACACGTTGAATAGTCAAGTTGAAAAAATAATTCAAGATTTTAAAGTAATGAATTTTATTTGTTTTATAATTTATTCAAAACCTGTAAATGATTAGGATAGTGCGCTAACCTTTTAATTTTGTTCCGTGATTTTAAAAATATCAGTAGCAGATTATACAATGTACATGTAAGTAGTACATGAAATAAACCCGTATCGTATGTACAGAATCGAAAATTTAAGAACTTATATATAACAATCTACAGCTACTGAATATCACAAACTTATCATGGTTATTATCACACCCTCGCGTTAGATGCGTGTGCTTGTCAGTAAAGCCACTAGGGTGGGTTATTAAGTAAATGAAGATGAAGCCGCGTTACGATTTGCAAGCCTTTATTTCTCGTGTTTCAGATTGAGGGTTTGTCTTGACAAAGAGCCAAGGTTATTTTGTTTAAATCAAGGTCACTGACATAAGAAATCTTTTCTTTTCCCCGCTATGAACTAGTAAGTGAAAATCATTTGGAGGCTCTTACTTGAAACATAGATTACTTATGATTGGAGGTTGTGTCATGACCCTGATAAAAGGTCTTTCTGGCAAATCAAGGTCACTGACAGAGAAAAAATGTTTAAGCATAACTTTGTAATTAAGATTCACTGGAGGCTCATTCTGAGAAGAAAGGTTGTTCACATTAGAAAGTGCAGTAACCTTGACCCAAGGCCGGTACTTCCTGTCCACAGCTCCAACGGAAGACCTACCCGTTGCTTTGCAACGAGCTCGGCTCTAGTTTCATTTCTTATGCTATCTGCTAAATTGTCTACAGAATTCTCTATCTTCTCGACATTAACAAGGAGTACGCGGTGTGACCAACCGATGCTTGATGCTTAACTCCATGCCTCCTGATCACACCTCTTGTTCAACTATTCGAATGTAATTGTTTATTAGGCAAAAAAATTATTGAATGTAATGAAATTTTAATCCCTATCTGGATATTCAAGTAAAAAATGCAGTATGACGACACTGTTAACACTCTGATAAAAATACATATTTTTGTAAAAAAAAAAAAAATCGACACATCATACTTTTCGTTTAAAAACAAATTATTATTATAATACTTGAGCACATATTTCATAATTACATATAAAGTGCCACCTTTAAAATAATAAATCTATTTATAGTATGCAATATCAGTAGTTCAAAATAACATTTACGGCTTTAATTCGAGATAAGACTGAAGTGCTGCTCTTCTTCTACATGAACCAAATAGATAATCCATTTCAGCAGTTGCTGTTTGAAACCTGCGCAATTTAACTGATCAGCTAGTGCACGAATTCTAAAAGTGTAAGTTTGTTTCTTTCTGTGTTAAATCAATTTCACAAAATTCTAAAATATATTCGATGTATAATTTTCTGAGAGATAATGATTATATTTAACAATGGTACAATAACATTCATGCTTCTTTATGTATCACAATTAAATAGTCGGGATTTTAAATGCAGGTCACGTGCATAAGTTTCCGTGGGAATGCCACAATAAGACATGATCTCCTGATGGTGATAGGAATATGCCCAGTAGAGATGTGAAGGACTGCAAAAAAATTAATTAGTTTGAATTTTTTTCAAAATGTGGATTTGAGCATTAAAGTTAGTATATATATAACCATTGATTTATATCTTATTTGCCTTGAAAAAATATGTAAATGTGAGTGCATGAAAGGACGACACTCTAGTAAACAAATTAATTCACAGAATCTGAAAGGATTAAATTAAAAGTTTTTTTTTCTAATATAGCCAAATATACCATGGCTGAAGCAATTATTCAAGGTACTGCTCAACATTTCATCGAATGTGCAACCTGTACGGAATATTCAGAGTTCTTTTGCAATACATGTAACCAGAAGATGTGTCATCAATGCAGAGAAACCCACTTGAAGGATAAGAAAAAAGCAAATCACAATGTCGTTCCATATCGGGATAGGGGGAAAATGCACAAACTAGACAAGATAAGAGATGAAGTAGGCAAACAATTCGATAAGATAAAGGGAGGAATTCAACAACTCTTTACGGTGAAGAAAAAACAAATCATTGAATCTGAGAGAGCAACACATCCATCTCGAAAAGAAAATTTCAACGGCACTTTAAAGAATAGCGACTTTAATTTCGAACAATTCAAAACAATTACTCTTTCAAATATAAAAATTATAACTCACTTATCCATGATGTCGACAGAACTAATCTGGGCCAGTGATGAAAAGGGAAATCTTATCCATTTTGATTTTTATGGAAATCTCCTACATACAATATGTACATGTGAAAGTAAAAATGGCTACCACACAGTCAGTAAACAGGGAGATCTACTCTACACAGAAAGATACAATAGAACCATCTACAAAATCACATTTAACGGGAGGAGAATCTTACCTACGCCATTCCTAACAACAGGAGAGTGGATGCCGTGGTGCATTCACTTTTCAACTATCAATGAAAGCATTATCCTGGGCATGAAGAAAGACAAGGAATGGAAGCTGTCAACGTATAACAAGGAAGGCACAAAGGTCAGAGACATTCAGATGGGTGCTGGAGGAACAAAACTCTATCAAAGCATTTCGTATGTCACTGAGAACATAAATGGTGATATTTGTTCCTCAGACTATTTGGCGGGTAGAGTGGTTGTAGTAAACAAATCGGGAGAGCATCAGTTCTCTTACTCTTGGCACAATTCTGAAGGCGTATATACTCCTTATGGAATCTGTACTGATGACCAAGGACACATCTTTGTTTGTAGTAGTGTCAGTTGTGGTCAGGTTTGTCACGAGGTCCATATCCTTGCCCAGGACGGCCAGTTCTTGTCTCTCCTGCCTTTACCGGGTGATTGCCCGCGTGCTATCTGTGTTGATAATCATCACAGGATCTATGTTGCAACAGAACGCTCTAACATCACTGTGTACAAGTATACCCCAAATACGGACAAGTAAACGGTGATTAAGGAACAAAATATTCAGAAAAATTCAAACTTCAAAATTCCTCATGAGAAAGATCACTAAAATCTTTTGTTTTGAAAAAAAAAATCATCAGAAGTCGAAAATCGAAAAAAAGAAAGGTGTTTACTCTGTAATTTTTTATTACCAAATATCGAGTGAACAGCTCATCATCAGATTTCATAAACAACGTGATCAGCGTCTTATTGGACGAAGCATTTGTATCCACTGATACTAGGAAACACATGTAGCGGTTTGTTCATTAATCGACTTATTCATCTATGAAATCATATAATAAACAATATGTTTGTAACTGTGAGCTGTACATTTTAAAATGCATATAGATATAGAAGCATAGATTTTTTTTTTAAATAAATTTTCTTAGTATATTTTGTAGTACTTAGTAGTTATGCACCAGTTGATTGAAGAAGTCACGCCGGTACCTCATTTGGCATATGAATTTGTTCTTACATCACAAGAAATTTCCTTATTCTGTTCATAATTATGATGATAGAAAAAGCCAGCAAGAGTTTTCAATATTTCAAACATAATATATGATTGCAAGTAAATACAATTTTCTTCTTTGACAAAAAGGTAGATTTCGAGAAAAAAAAATAAAATGACCAACCCAAGAAGAAAAATGTACCTCCATGTGCACTCATATATTTCAAGGTTATCAAAGAGTGAGGCAGGGTAGAAATCCAAACTTCAAAACTATTTATTACGTATACTGTAAACGTATTATATTTGGCTGTGTATTCTTTTTCGCGGCTTTGGCGGAACGCATCAACCGCTAAATCAAGTACAACGCTAAATGTCTTTCACATATACACATAAATAAGAAAATGAGGAAATGCGCTAAATCAAATCTTCGCTAATTTATTCAAAGTCGATTTCCGCCAAATATCGTACACGCTAAATATAATACGTTTACAGTATATTATTATAACAGTAACTTGATCCGAAGGGTCGTATCACGTCGAGTTGACAGGCGCGGATCATCAGATCAAACGAGACGCGAAGCGTCGAGTTTGATCTGATGATCCGCACCTGTCAACGAGACATAATACGGCTCTTCGGATCAAGTTACTGTTTTAATGATAAATTTATTATATACCCCTTTATAAGTGGCTAAATATATTAAAATAAACCTTTAGAGATAAATTGGATAATAATAATCCATTAAACAAAGCATAATAACAAGGGACTTTTTAACGCGCAAGAAAAATAACGTCATATTTTTGCGTACTACGTCATCAGTTTCAGAGAGTGGTGATATGGATTCAGAAAACAACATGTTGGTGATCCGGAAAATTGGATCACGACATCACGTGATAGCGTAAATTCAACAGTAAAATTGAGTGATACACATTAGGTATATAATAAAATGAATTATTAGGACGTATTTGAGTAAAACAATGCACATTATATAAATTATACAATATTCTATTCAAAAACTGATAGGTGCACACCATTGTAAATAAATAAGATTTAGAGCGTTTATTTTCTTCGTAGTGAAACAACCGAATAAACGCGTTTTTAATCAATGTATCTACAAAAACTCTTACTATTGAAAAATTAAAAAAAATCAAATATGCTGTCTCAATATATTAGGCCATCAGTTTTTATCAAAGTGTAAAAGACATCAGTAAAAGCAGCATTAAAATCTGGACCTTAGTTGAATAAAATGCAAAGATAATGAATAATTAGCATGCTTTAAGTCCAATTAAAGTTGGAAACGACTTGTAAATAGGCGTAGGTTATTTCCAATATCACCATATCACCACCGAGCTACAGGTCCTTAATATAGGGAATCACAATCTTTCAATTGCCGTAGGATTTTAGTAAATTGTACGGATTCTGTTGAAGATTACCCCTATTGTAGATGACTAAATTTTCGTGACACTTTATTTTCGCGACATAGCTATTGACTCTTGATTAGCGAGACAAAATTTTCACGAATTGTGGTCACTGTTTTAAATAACCTTAAGGACTACTATTATACGCGAGAATTAAATTTTCGAGAGCACACTGTCTCGCGTAATTACGCGAAAATAAAGTTCTCGCGAATTAAAAGTGATTTACAGTATTTGATGGGCCATATATGAAATAGAAGATGCGTTGACACTTTGTTAGAATAAATAAAATTTATCAATTCCATGTTACAGCCGCACATTAAAAAATTGAGGGGCAATATAAAAACCATCTATCCTTATGTATTAAAATAACACAGAAGTGAAAGAAGAATTGATAGCTAACATGATAAATACATACTGGTGCCTGCTGACAAATCAGATAACAACATTGTCTGTTGCAACCACTATTGAAATACGGTCACTATTGAAATAATTATTTCAATAGTCATTGAAATAATTATTTCAATAGTCGTTGAGAGTGCATTTCAATAACAAACATAAGTTGCAACCAATGAAATAATGTTCACTTTTGAAATAAAGATTTCAGTAGAAGTTCTGATTGCATTCAGAACATAAAACAAGTCTCAGCCACTATTGAAATAATGTTCACTATTGAATTAACATTTTTAATAGTGATTGAAGAAGGATATGGAGATAACGAACAGTTTTCAATTTCAAAGTCCATAAAACAATACAAAATTGGAGCAGAGCAAACACGGACCTCCGAAACATCAGAGGTGGGATCAGGTGCCATGTCGGAATGAGCATCCCCTGCAGACCAGTCAAACCCGCTGTGTGCTCCTTGTCATAATCAGGTAATAACAGAAAAATCCGTTGTCCATTCAGTGTATAAATAATTGACTAAGAATTAGTATGAGAAACATCAGTCAGCATTTGATTCAAGGATAAATTGTATTTGCTGACAAGGTAACTGTATCGACCATAGAACTTACGAAATGATGATTTTAAACGAGCCTGCTGGTGTTCTTGTTTCATCAACTTGCTTGTCAATAATTTACTTCGTTTTAGAAATTGTTCATACGTAGAGCATACTCTTGTGTATCGAATCAACTGAGATATGTATACTCCGTATGCAGTCGATGAAGATATATTGCTGCATAAGTAAGGAAAGTTGACGGTAGAAAAGTCAAAGTCATCACGTTTATGATATAGCTTGGTTGTTAGATTACCATTAACGTCTTTTTCAAGTAAAATATCCAAGTATGAAACAGATCAGGTTCTGTAGTATCTTTTTTTCTCAAGCTCATTAGGATATATCGTATCGACGTTTGATCGACAATACGTCGACGATATATCTAAAAGTCGAGTTGAAGGCCACAGCAAGTGTTTTCTTCTTTTCATGCATACGATTTTCCACAAACTCTGCTTCATATGAATATAAAAATAGGTCTGCTAATAACGAAGCGCAATTGGCACCCATGGGAATTCCATTACATTGTTGGAATACCTGGTCTCCAAAAACCACATAGATATTGTCAATCAGAAACTCAAGCATATCTTTGATGTCAACTTCAGAGTTTCCGTAAAACAACTTCCCAGCTCAGAAAATGTTCAAACTTTGAGTTGGGGTCAATATTCAACAGGGTTAGTTTTTTTTTCTCAACTTGGTACGAAAAAAATTATCAAGCTGCTGAAAAATAACCCCGGGTATAAATTCAACGGTGAAAAAACATCCCCGGTTCAATATTCAACGTTGAAAAATGACCCCAGGGTCAATTTTCAACTCGGGTTAATATTCAACGTTACAGGGGCACTTCTATAAAGCTTGCAATGTGGGGCATCGAAATCATTGTCAGCAACTATTAAAAATCATTTAAATATCATTTGTAATCATTGTTTAAAGCACTATTGAAATCTCCATTTCAAAAATGAACATTATTTCAATAGTGGTTGCAACCTATGTTTGGTATTGAAATGCTCTTAACCATTATTGAATTAATTATTTCAATAATCGTCTTATTTTAATAGTGGTTGCAACATATGTTATTGAAATGCACTCTCAACTACATGTACTACTGAAATAATTATTTCAAAAGTGATTGTTATTTCAATAGTGGTTGCAACAATTGTCTTCGATTGTTAGGCTCATTATACATGTATTTTAAAAGAACGTGCATTTAATTCTCCAAGTGGTACTCCAATCTAAACTCATATTTCCCTTTCTAAGGAAGAAATTCTTCAAAATCATATGTTAGTATTGAATATTTTCATATCCCAAAGATTCAAAATAAACTTGCACTATCATATATAATGTACATATTGGATTCCGAAACTTCATAAGAATCCTCACAAATAAAGATACAAAGCAGGTTCAAGTAAATGTTCAATCAAGCCTCTTACTTTACTCCTCAACAAGATATTTACAGAATTAAAGGAGAAATTTCAAGAACACTGTGCAACAATATATATATTTAAGAAGAGAAGTGGTGTACATCAGATGTGGATACTCAAAAATTCCAAGGAACTATTGGACAATTTGAAATCACAAGATTTTAATAAAATCAACATCTTAAAAACTTACAACATTTTAACTTTATACATGTTCAACCATTCCAAACGATTAATTAAAATCCAGGCTTTTTGGTATCATTGACAGGTGCTTTTTCAATAAAAATGGAACTCGTAAATTTATTAACCTTTTCTTTGGTAATTTGCAAAATAATTTTGTTAAAAACATTCTGATTGTACACACAAGTATTATGAAGTTGAAGAAAACACTTGTTGTGGCCTTCAACTCGACATTTAGATATGTCGATGACGTATTTTCAATGAACAATAGTAATTTTTATTCTGATGTAAATA